GGGGGGGGGGGGGGGGGGTGGCACAAAGACAGGGCCAGCTGATGAACACAGGGAAAACCACCGTGCCCTTCCAAGAAGTTAATTACAGTGAACAAAAGCAGCAGACGATGACTTGTTGATCATTACCATAATCACATTACTCCACTCTTCGTGCTTTCCCAGCAGCGGTGTGCCTTTTCTGCCTTTTGTTTGACGCTTGTGCATCCCATTAATTGTTTGTCACCCTAAATTCACCAGTGAAGTACAGACTGGAAGAATGGAATTGCTAGTGGGAAAATGAGGATAAAATTTATGGGGGAAGCCACTGGGCATTTTGGATAAATAACTCTCCCCACCTCCTCCAGCTGGAAAATTCTAGAGGAAAATATACAGGAATACCTTCTTTTTTAAAAACCAGAAGAGTCAAGAGTGTTCACTTTTTCTGCCAAGAAAACAGGGAGATTTATACAAGGAAAGGGAAACACCCATAAAATTGTCAGATCCTTTTATGGTGCAGACTTTCTAGGTTACAATAATAGTCTATGTAACCTTTGCTTTCATCAGACAGCCATGCTTGGAGGCATGTTCTACCTTTAGTAATGGCAGATTTTATGCTGATTTGTCTCTCCTGGCTCCTGTGAATTTAGCTCATATCCAGAATCTTCTTTTAATACAGCTATAGCATAAAGCAGCAGGGAAGAGGAATGCTTACGAGTCTTGGGGCAAGGAGATTTTACAAATTAACGGCATGCTAAAACATTTGGCGAAAGGGGCAGTTATGAAAGGAGTCCTCAACTGTAAGAATCCAGTTACACTTTATGTTTTTTAAAAATGGGTTGGATTCAGGTTAAATTATCAGGATTTAGATTCTGTTGACATCCAGGGGATGAGCCACTCATGATTTCTGTGGCAATTAAGTTCATTTGACTGAAACAGGATTCAGTCCAATATCTCTGGTCCCCAGCTCTTACATTCTGTTTGCTAAAGCAATATTGCTCTTCCCAGAAATAAACTAGAGGGTCTGTGGAAACTAAAAAGGCAGGGAGTGGCACTGGAGGTCCTACATCTTCACGAAAACGCCTGAGGACCAGTATTAGCACTAGAACAATCTCAATAGTGACCGAGAAGTCACAATTTCATGCAGTGATAAATTAACCAATTATCCCCCAAATGGGGACCTGTAGCCTTAGATCTTTGTGTGTCATTCTGAATACAGTATTATCCACCATGGTAGACTGGGTGCAGCTCATAACATGGTATTCTTCCACATAATGCCCCTCATAATGAACTTGGCTGTCCAATCTTTTGCATATCTGTTCAGAAGTAATGCCCCTGTGGATTCAATGAAGTTTATTCCTGGCTCAGTTTATACAGGATTATGATAGGAGCATGATTATGACTCCACTTCTCAGAGAGATTTAATATTGCTATTCTCCTGTGTGGAAAAGAAAGAAATACAATACTGAAAAATGGCTGGTAGGGAAAAGCCCCCCACCCCCACCCCAGGACCCAATTGTCCCACAGCTAGAATGCTTTGGCCTCTAAAGCTGAATGAGGCTCACACAAGCCCTCCTTGAAAATCATTACGAGTAGGTTGCTCATGTGTGTTCCAAAGGAAGTGATGTCACATAGAAAACCACCATAGAAAAATTCCTTGGAATGATATGGTAAGACTGATCCTGTGGAAAGAGAGAACTTCTTCAGTATTTCAGTTCCTGGGCTTTCTTCGCTTGGCTATTTGCAAATCTTATTTTCCATTGTTCCTCTCCTGACCCTTTCAGTTTTATAGCTTTGACTCGGCAAACAAAAGTGAGTTGTTTTGCACACACTGCAGACATTCCTGTTTTCCGCTAAAGTTGACTCATCCACTGCCATTGTCAGAGGATGTCTGGCACCGATTATTAAATATGGCAAAACAAAATATCTGAGGTGTTTCAGAATTTAAAATGCCCAAATACAAGCTTTCCTGTCCCCTGAGATGCATTACAGCTATTTAAGGGCATTTTCTACAAATGATATTGGAGAATATTATCCACATCATAGCTGCAATGTATACATAGTACAATTATCTAATTATTATCAATATGTAGTCATAGGTCAACAGTTAAATCTCCTTCAACAAAATTCTAGAAATCAAATGACCAGTGTTTTGTAGGTTCACTAATCATGCAATGCTCTGTAGATGTTGAGAATGCCTAAGACTTTATCCAGATCTTTAATGAGCGGTATCCTTTTTCTCATGCAGTGGCCATGACCCTAGGCCCTGACCCACTAGCACTACATTGATACGTATAAATATGCAACAATTTTCATGGGAAAAGTAAAATTCACATTGACTTGTCTAAATCACACTACAGACATTGTTAAGTCTAACAGAAATTATTTCAAAAGAAACACTTTTTTTTTTTAAGGCTATGTGCACTTACAGAGGGGAAAAAATCTATTCTTTCAGATATTGACCAATAGCTTCATTGCACTTTAAAGCATAACAGTAATCCCAAGTTGTTCCAGACACCAACAGTGGCTTTTGCACTCAGTTACTACATGTCTAGTTCAATCTTCCCTAAAGGTACACACTTTTACTGCTTGTCACAGATAAGGCTTTTAGGGGCTTGTTTCAGGGCTTCCCAGGACACAGCAAAGCTGATGTATGATAGAAAACCCACAACGACACTTTGACCAGAACCTATGCTGCAGTATATAAAACAGATAGGTCTGGTGCTATCCTGACAACCTTGCAGTGCTATCTTCGGGCACAGGAGAAGCCTGTATCTGCATCAGTAGCCTTGCAGAATGCTGGGCTCTAGATTCTCCATATTCTCTACAGCAGTGTTGTCCAAACTTGGCCACTTTAAGATGAGTGGACTTCAACTCCCAGAATTCCCCAGCCAGAATTCTGGGAGCTGAAGTCCACACATCTTCAAGTTGTAACCTTGGCAACTTGAAGATGTGTGGACTTCAGCTCCCAGAATTCTGGCTGGGGAATTCTGGGAGTTGAAGTTAACCTTGGCAACTTGAAGATGTGTGGACTTCAGCTCCCAGAATTCTGGCTGGGGAATTCTGGGAGTTGAAGTTAACCTTGGCAACTTGAAGATGTGTGGACTTCAGCTCCCAGAATTCTGGCTGGGGAATTCTGGGAGTTGAAGTCCACACATCTTCAAGTTGCCAAGGTTGAGAAAGACTGTTCTACAGCTTTGGAAGGGCATGCTCTTTCTAGAGCAAACTCAGAGATTAGATTTTCTGACCAATTCCTTCTGCAGTTGATCCTGGGAGATCTATCTGAGGATGGTACTACGTGGAGCTATGGCAAATGCCTATCTCTAAGGTATTTGTGACAAAGAGTCATGAGGCATTCATAGGATTAGCAGATAGGAGGATGGAAACAACAACCACTGCTCCTCTCCAAAAAATGCCTGTCCGGATCACTTTCCCCCTTCTTCTGGGCTTCCTTCTGACTTTGGAGGCCATCTGGGAATTAAAATTAAAAATGGCTACAGTGATATTTTAGGAGAGACTTCTTCTCTTTCGCCATAATGCTGTGGTTCTGCCTTAAGTGTGCAACCTGCTTAAGCATGAATATCTTTTCAATGCAGGCAACCAACCTTTTGAACCTACCTTGGGAGAAAATGCAAAAGTTCAGCTACACAGCCCTGCCATTCCTTTCAGAGGGGCATTATGCATCTCTCTGGCAGCAGAGGGAATGATCATTAAATTTCTAGCAAAGCATCAGACTCAAGAAGAGTTTTAGTTCTCATCTTGCAGTTCTTCGGCAAGCTGGCTTTCATTGTAATATGAAGACATAGACACTTATGGCATCGCTCTCTTCCCTGCTGGCCTTGTTTGTTGTTTTATGCATTTCTGCATCATTTAGAGAGTTCCCTTTGATGTGCATTCCTCCTGGATGTGCCGTTTCCTTTCCAGCTAATCAAAAGAAAAATCAGTTTGTTTGAAAAAGAGGCTTGAAGGTTCATAGGGCAAAAGCATCTATTTTTAATCCAAAGTAAGAATGGTAGTCCTGTCTTTCATACAAGAGGACGCTGGGGAAACAAGAGAGAGAGAGAGAGAGATTTTTTCCCATTAATATGCATTATTAGACATCAGCAAATGTAACTCTTAGGGCTTATTTTTTAAAGGATTTCATCTTTAAGGTAACGTTGTCTATTGGGGCTTTTAGATTGCTTTTGACAACATGTTTAATTTGCTTACTGAATTAATCCATTTTCAGGATTTGTACAGCGTGGTAGATCATAAAATATTGAAACATTTGGCATGTTATGGGTTTGCCCAACACACTAAATGTAAAAAAACCCCCAAAAAACGAAAGAAAAGAAATAAAAGTGTGAATCAAGGTTAAAACTAACCAAGTTCAGCATGTCGGACAAATGCAATTGTAGGGTCTTTAACTCGCATGCTTAAGCACATGGCACAAAGTCAGTCTGGCTCTGAGATTCTTCAGAGTGAGTTGCAAAACCAGATCCATGCTATGGTTAACCACCAGAAAGATTAGATGTTGAAATTCTTGTTGGCTCAAAAACACAATATACTTCAGTGCACCATCTTTAAAACAGGAAGAGTCGGGAGGGGGGAGCTATGTATTTAGCATCCAGATGCGTACATGACCAATTGAAGTCTTTATAAATCCTCAGCAGATTTGTAATCATAGACCGTGAGAGATCTAAATAAATATTTATATTCCATATAGTGTATTGGTTCTGTAACACAATTATCTATCTATTTAATATATGGATATATGTCTCATTCATATCTGTGTGTGTGAGTGGGAACATGTATGTGTGCATGTAATTTGGGGATCCTAAAACTTTCTCATAGGACCTGGGAGCTTGCTGACACCTACCAGCATTAGCTGCAGGTTTTTCACATTGCTGTCAGGCAGAACTTCTCATCCTACCTTAAGATATGGCCCTGTGTTTATCCGTTGTACACTTTACAGTGCAGCATCTCTCATTCACTTGAAATGCAACACTCACAAATCTGGGCCACTGGTCCACTTTGAAAGGAGACTGGCAAGTGACAGGAATTAGGCACTCCAAATCCAAAATTAAAAATTTATCATGATTTTGCATGTAACGGTTTAAATTGCAGATTTATGCTGGTTGGCCATTCCAGTGCCATATGAAGTGACTCACATGGGCACAAGCCTTCCCCTCTATATGCACAGAAGGCTCCTTCTGTCTTTAATGGCAGAAAGTCCCATGAAAGCTAAATCTACAGCATATGATTTTACATTCAAAAATATATTCTTTTTTTGTCCTATGATGCAGCAAATGTTACTACCTAAGAGGAAATAGTCCACAGAGAAAAAGTTTGTGCCTTAATTAACAAATTAAATAAAATTAAATAAAGATAAACAGACTTGATTTGGCCATATCCCTAGGATGACCCTGTAACTGGGATTTTTTTTTTTTGGCAGAGTTAAGTCCTTCCATCAAACTACTGTCTTCACTAGTGTTACAAGGTAAAAACCAAATTAAAAAATAATAATAACAGGCAACTTGAATTGTAGCATCTATCAATCATTTCAGACACATTTCTCTCTTAATTAAAGAAAATGCTTGCAGAGCTTATGTATGATCAGTAAGATTGTCACTGCCAACAGGTTTACAACCTGAAAGGTACAATATAAAGGGAAATACAGAAAGAGAGGGAGGAAGAAAACTGCAAACTCAGGAACATAATTTTGAAACTGCTTAAAAATCATAACCAGCTACAACTGAAACAATTCAAGGATTTCAGGTTTATGCTGTGGGCCATTCTGGTGCCACATGAAGTGACTCTCATGCGCACAAGCCTATCACCTCTATACCTTTATGCACAGTAAGCTCCTTCATATAGCTGTGGAAGATATGGTGACTTTGTCACATAGTCAATGCATCTGTTGCCAGAGCTCCTTGTTCAGATCTTGCATGCTTTCAGTATGCGAAGAAATGTGAAAACAACCTATTGGGAAGAAGTGAAGGAATAGCAGGAAGTCTTGTGCCTTAAAACAGCCCCAGCTCCCTCTTAGAGACCAGTGAATCCAGTCCCTGATTACTTTGCTAAGGGTCCAACCACACTGATAATGTCTCCTGAAGCAAAAGTCTTATTTATTACCATAACCTCCTTCTTTTTCAAGTTTAATTTCAGCTCCTTCTACCTCCATCCAACCCATTAAGCTTAGGCAACGTTCAAGGGTACCAAGTAGTTCCTGGGCTTTGTATTGGTAAGGACCAGTTAAGCTGGGCGTCAGCTCTCATAAACTATCCCCATGAGGCGCAAGATTGAACCCTACAGACACCATTAAGTCAATGATGCCAGAGTTGAACAACAGTCCCCACCCTCTAGATGTGGTCTGTCAAGAAGGACCAGAACCACAGCAAAACCAAGTCCTCAAGGCCTAAACCTGCCAGAGAGCCAGAAGAACAACTTGCTTAGGATTCCATTGTTTTCAGTTTAGGCAGTCATCATTTGAACAATTAAATGGGGACAGTTATTAAGGCATGTGATAAAAACAGGAAATTTGTGGAGAGGAACCTCACTAATTTTTCTAAAATCAATTAAAGAAGTTCATTCATTCATTCATTCATTCATTCATTCATTCATTCATTCATTCAATTCATGGTTCATTTGAGTGTTTATGAGTGTTCTTGGGTGCTACTTTTGTTTTTTTGTTGCTGTTGTTTTTAATCTGATTGTTTTGGTTTTTTTACTCTGCTTTAATTGTCAGCTGCCCAGAGTCATGTATATGAGATGGGCGACCTATACATTTGTTAAATAAGTAAGTAAGTAAGTCCAAAAAAATAGCAAAGCTATGTAGAAGGCTCATAAAGTGAAGGGAGGTAGAAAGAAGCATTATACAAACATAAATAGGAAAAAGGAAAAAAACAACCTAAGTGGCAAAATGTAGCTATTGTTGATCAAACTATATGCAATACCATTTTTGTGACAAAAAGAATGCAGTGCTTCCAATGAATGTCCAATTAAGACCCGGCCCTAATGACTAATATAAAGATACATGGGAAAAATAAAATAAGAACAAATCAAAGATTAAAAAAAATAAAACTGTATCAACTTTATAAACAGTAAAGATAGATAACCATATAGAATGACAGTACCAGATGGTTAATGTTGTTTATAGTTAAATAGATGAGGCATAAAAAGGCAGGGAAATGTGAAAAATTAAGAAATCTTCAAGGGACATATCATTTATTTATTAAGAGTATTTGCAGTCTACCCAGTAACAAAGTTGTCTGTATAGTTTATCATACCAGTGAAATATTAAAATACAGTAATCAACCATAAAACAGCAGAGAGCTCAAACAGCAGAAACTATATGCAGTGACAATAAACAAGATTCACAAGCCACACTGAGAGATATACACATTTTTAACAATCTTTTAAAGCAATTTAAGAGATCTAAATGCACCCCACATTAAGAAACAGAGCAGCAGCCCAGGGGTGGGACTATAAAAGGAACCAGATTTATTTTGGAGAACAGTGGGAAAAAAAAGCCAAACAGAAAATGTTGATGGAGCAAAAATAATACAGAAAACAGCGGTGTAAAAAGGTTTGAAAATCACAAGGACGTACAATACATCTTCATGATGGGCTGGAAGGATGATGGCAACTGGAAGGACGATCTGGATCCACCGCTTGGTCAGCAGGGGCTTCAGCTGTCAGAGTCGAACAATTAAAGATCCCCTCTCTATCCTAACCCCTGCATGAATCTGTACAAATCAATAACAATTGGGAGAATGCTAAAATACAAAGGTGTGCAGATAAATGTTACTGCAAGCACCGTTTCTAGTCCTGAAACAGACTTTCTGGGTTGTTGAGCATTTGCTCTGTCCCACCATTCTGCATTCCTCTTCCTTAGCCTTGTTGAGTTGATTTTCTATGAACAATGAGTCTGAGGAATGCCCGCCCTCAAATGAAAATTATGCCCACGCTCTTATCTCTTCAGACACTCTTCCATCGGGTACACCTACAGGTGATTCAGTACATCCATGCCATTCTTACTCAGCTCCATATTTCAAGTATGAGAAAGCAAGAATCATTACAGAACATGGTGCCACAATGGAAAAGCCACATTGCCCTGCTGGATCTTCTTTTTAAAAGCTGACTGGTGAGCTGCATTTCCCAGGACAGTGTTTCTCAACCTTGGCAACTTTAAGCTGTGTGGACAGGGCTGGCTGGGGAATTCTGGAAGTTGAAGTCCACACAGCTTAAAGTTGCCAAGGTTGAGAAACACTGTCCTAAACAGCCTGCCCAAATCCAGCAGCTGATGCAAATGAGTTGGGAATGCAACTCCCAGAATTCCTAGTCAAAGGCCACATTCATCGGGAATTCTGAATGGCACCAGGTTCCCAAAAAGTGCTGTAGGAAATATTTGCTGGTTTAACAGTGCTTTTTCTTTTGTTTGTGTAAGATGAGCTCAATTTTAAAGTTCCACCTGAACATTTACTTGTTCCAAAAGTGGAGAAAAGCAAACAGCAGCAGAGCAAATAACAAGCTGTACCATGTGTCACTGAATAGTTATGATAGCTGCTCTTCCTCATTCACCTCATTGCAGAAATTAAAGAGAATGGCTTGTTCAAAATCTAGCGGACCTTTCAGCAGTTTGGATTCACAATCTAAAAAGAAAAAAAACTTTGAATTTTGCTGGGTTCCTTTATTGGGACCCTCTCATTCTGCTACTTGTTCATTTCTTGCACGGTTGCTCAATGGTTCTTTTTTGTCTCTTCTAATCATCTTTAATGCCTTGCATTTTCTTTAGCTCAGTCGCCCTCTATTCTACTACACTAGGGCCGATCTCCAACACGCAGCTCCAGCCTTTGTTCTGCTCTCATTAAATTATGCCCCTGTGTCTGGGAATACCCATTTTTCACTGTGAAAAATTCCTGGTTAAGAAAGCAAAGATGGGATTTAACAACTGTATAATTAAAGATGGCAGGGGGCAAGAACATCTTAAAGACAATATTAAGTGAAAGGAGAGCTGGACAAAGCCATGATGAACACTTTTTTTCACCGTTGCCAATGATGATGATCATTGCACTCATAAAATATGTTTAATTATTATTGTTATTGTTATGACTCAGATGCCTAAATATTATTATTATTACGGTTATCACACTCATAATAGGTGGGGAAATATTAGGGGACAATTAGGGAAAAAATCAGTAGAGGGAACTTGCCACAATATTTGCATCTTTGTTTTGAGACATGCTTTATCTACTGAATTTCTCTTATAGTGCAACCGCGGTCAAGCGCAGAGGGATCATCCCTTAACGCTGTCCTCTGCAGGAATGTCTGCAGAGTGTCCCATGTCAAAAAAGTCAAGAGGTGGCTACGACTGCATGGTTTAAGTCCTGAGCCTTTTTACTGATGCTGACATGCATAAAAAGGGGCAAGGCTTCGAGCCTGACTTTTTTTCATACACACACACCACTGATGGCCCTGCTATGCACTGATGCTAATAAGTTGAGTTTGCTAAGCTCATTGAATCTACCAGGATACATAATTGTTAAGGAAATAAGAGTCTAGCTTCATCCTCTTTTGTAGCTAACCTC